GTGCTAGAACGTGAATTGTTCAGGGTACATCAGTGAGCTAGACAGAACGCCAGCCTCCGCGATGCTTGTGCTCCGAGGAGCGAGCCTGTAATGTAAATACAGTGTGTAGTGTGGGAGGTGTAACGGGGAACAAAGCAGAGGAAAGGGGGACCGTGTGTGTTGGGGGGGATCCTGTGGAATTTCAAACACGGTGGTTATTGTGAGTCTCCTCAGGACCTTGGGTGGTAAGGGAGGCTTTCTTTGTCACTATTCCGCCCCCTCTGAGGTTTGTCCTGAAAATGCACCGTGAGGTGTTTCCTCACCTCCATGGTCGTCCTGGGGGAGGGTGGGGCTGCCTCGGGGGCTGCTTGGCCTTTTCTAGCCCCAGACATGAGGCAGGAGTTCTGACTCAGGATGTTTGCCTTGCACCCATGGTGCAGAGGGCACTCTTGGCTGGGGGGTGAGACGGAATCCTGCCAGGCAGTACGATGGACCCTTGATCCCACTAGTTGAAAGGGTGCTGATGGGGAGACTAAGGGGGTGGGGGGAGCACCCGAGGGGAAGGGGAGCCTCCCCAGGAGGAGGAGATGGTGGCCTGAGAGGGGTCTGCGTGCGTGGTCGTGGAGCTGCCCCCAAGCCTGCATTCTGAGGGAAAGTCGAGGCAGTTCCTAGTGGGCAGTGCTGGCGGGGGAGGTGGGTGGCTGGGGTGTGAAGGGCCTGTGTGTATTCAGCCTTTGGGAGGCCAGGGGCTAAACGTGTGGGTACGCGTGAGCCGGGAAGGAGGGCCGCTGACGGCTGCCTGGGCTGGGCTGGCACCCTCTGCAGCTCAGGGACGGTCAGTGTCGGAGGAAGCAGGGTCTGGGTCTGGTTCTTGCTCCTGCCCGCAAGGGTGCCCTTCAGTCCCGACAGCCCAGGTGGGTGAGGGTTTGTACCCAAGCCAGGGACCAGATTCTCTGGGCAACTTGGGAGGAGGCTGAAGACACCCCCAGTCCTTTCTCAGCAAACCGGAGGAGTCTGCTCCAGTTACAGGGTCCACCTGGGCCCGCCCTCTCCCAGCCCTCTTCCGAAGAGACTTTCTGCCCCATAGAGCCAGGGCCCTGCTGGGGGGCGATGACAGCAGGAGACTAAAAGCCACCACCCACAGGGTGCCCAGGCTGGCTGGTCCCACAGCTCTTTCCACCCTCGCCTCTCTTGCCCCAGGCCCAGTTATGTCGCCAGCGAGGAGAGCCGACTCCTTGTTCTCACTGAGCTGCTGGAGAGAAAGGCCCACTCTCCATTTTACCAGGAGGGCGTGAGCAACGCCCTGCTGAAGATGGCCGAGCTGGGGCTGACCCGCGCAGCCGACGTCCTCCTGCGGAACGGGGCCAACCTCAACTTTGAAGGTCAGCTGGAACCCGAGGGGCTGGGTGGGTGGGGGCCCAAGTGTGGGCGGCCAGGCCTCTGGGCTCTGCTTTCACTGTTCTCCTAGGAGCTAGCGTCCTCACTTCTTCCGTGGGTGATGACGAAGGAAACAGGTCGGTGGCCTGCCGTCTCCTGGGGACTTGCAGATGGCCGCAGCCACCTCTGCTCCGAGAGCCAGTTTGTTGCTGCTTCTCTCTTGTGATGGATTTAGCAAACCTTGCCCAGCCCCCAGCCAAGTCCCCGCTTCCATTAATGTGAAAATGTGGCTGCTGGCCCCGTGCCCAGAGCTAAGGGAAAGTAATTTTCTGCCACTTATTCTGAGCCATCTTGCATTTCCGTTCCTGCCATAGGGAGGGGGAGACAGATAAGCCACGTTGGGTGTAAGTCACTGCAGGATGTGTTGGCTTTTAGCTTGTAAGTTCCGGGGGGTGGGGGCGGGTAGAGCCATTTTCCTTTCTTCTCTGGCTTTTGCCAGGAGAGGGCAGGGAGACATGCAGGGGGACTGTGACCGAATGGGGTCTTTGTGCTGACACAGGATGTGACCAGGCCCCTCTCCCCTCCCTATCTGAGGACAGGCTCCGAGACTGCTGGGCTCCCGGAGCATCAGGGAGCGGAGGAGGGGGAGGCTGTTCTGAAGTCCGTCACTTGAAGAGCCGGCTCTGAGAACTTGGCTGTTACTGCCGGGCTTAAGGAGCCGGCACTCTGGGTGTTCCTCCCAAACAGCCCGAGAGGAGATGCCCTGTTTCATGGTCCCATTTCCCAGAGGAGGGAAGTAAATCCCAAACAGATTGAGTGCCTCGCCCACTAAAATGCCCCCAGGGCCTGAACCCAGGTCTGACTGGAACCCACGCTCTGGCATCCCCTGAGGACAGCTCTGTCCTGACCCTCACGGTGACCGGAGCCTGGGCCTCTTCAGGTGGGAGTGCTGGGGCTGGGCTGCCAGGCTGGCTCCCGGGATCCTGCGAGAATGTGCCGGACTGACGTGAGCTGTGTCCGTGCCTTCAGACCCAGTCACCTACTACACAGCCCTGCACATTGCCGTCTTGCGAAACCAGCCGGACATGGTGGAGCTGCTGGTGCGCCATGGGGCTGACATTAACCGGAGGGACCGGGTGAGCCAGCTCCAGCCTGCTCTGCGGGGGCGTGGTGGGGGCCGTGAGCAGCCTCCCAGGCTCCCGGGCCAACCCGGCTGTGCTTTCTTGGCTCAGATCCACGAGAGCAGCCCTCTGGACCTGGCCAGCGAGGAGCCAGAGCGCCTGCCCTGCCTGCAGCGCCTGCTGGACCTCGGTGCTGACGTCAATGCAGCTGACAAGCATGGTGGGTGCCTCCCACGGGAAGCAGGCGGGCTGGGCCCAGGTGCCCCAGGACAGCGGCAGGCGGGCAGGCTGGCTGCGGCCTGTCTGAGGGTGCAGCATGGCCAGGCACGCAGGGGCACTTTGCTGGCTTTCAGAGGCTTTAAAGAGGCAGTGCGGTCATCGTCTGCCAACCCCTTGAGGCTGTCAGTGGGAGGAGACACCGTGTGCATGCCCCACCTGAGGGTGCTGTGTCTGGGTCAGGAGTCCTCCTTTGCTGGCCCTTCTGCTCCTTTCCTCTATGAGTGGAAAGAGAATGGCCAGGAGCCTGTCACCCTCAGCCATAGCTGAGGTCGGTCCTTTTTCAAGGTCATTTTCTGACCCCGAGCCGCTGTATCTCCCCTCCCTGTGGGTTGCCCTGACCTCGGCTCCCGGGCCTCCGCTCCCCTCTCCCTCCGCAGGAAAGACTGCTCTGCTCCACGCCCTGGCCAGCAGTGACGGCGTGCAGATCCACAACACTGAGAACATCCGGCTCTTGCTGGAAGGAGGTGAGGCGCGTCCCCAGGCTGTCCAGCTTCCCCCTTGGCCCCACACTCCCGTGTCTGCAGGCTCCCCCCGTACGCCGTCAGCGTTCCTGTGCCGGGGGTGAGGCCTTCTCCCTGCTGGCTCTTCCAGGGGCAGACGTCAAGGCTACCACCAAAGATGGGGACACCGTGTTTACCTGCATCATCTTCCTGCTTGGCGAGACGGTGGGAGGGGACAAAGAGGAGGCCGAGATGATCAACCGCTTCTGCTTCCAAGTCACGCAGCTGCTGCTGGCTCACGGGGCCGACCCCAGCGAGTGCCCGGCGCACGAGTCCCTCACCCACATCTGCCTCAAGAGCTTTAAACTCCACTTCCCTCTCCTGCGCTTCCTGCTGGAGTCCGGAGCCGCCTATAACTGCTCCCTGCACGGGGCGTCCTGCTGGTCTGGCTTCCACATCGTCTTCGAGAGGCTGTGTTCGCACCCGGGCTGCGCTGAGGACGAGAGCCACGTGGACCTCCTGCGGAAAGCCGAGACCATCCTGGATCTCATGGTGACTAATTCCCAGAAACTCCAGCTGCCGGAAAACTTCGACATCCATCCTGTGGGCAGCCTGGCAGAGAAGATCCAGGCCCTGCACGTCTCCTTGAGGCAGCTGGAGAGCTACCCGCCGCCCCTCAAGCACCTGTGTCGCGTTTACATCCGGCTCCACCTTCAGCCGTGGCCTGTGGACGCGAAGGTCAGAGCCCTCCCTCTGCCCGACCGGCTGAAGTGGTACCTCCTCAGCGAGCACAGCGGCAGTGTGGAAGATGGCATCTGACAGTCCGGACTGAGGGGAGCGGGCTGGGCGCTCAGCCTGTTGGTGGTCAAGTCCCCACAGCCACCTTCGGGGAGGACCTGGGGTCCCAGCTGTCAGAAGGTGCAGGCTGAAGCCAGACTTGGTCCTCTGAGACGGAGAGCCCAGTGGAGTGCCGCAGCTGCCTTCAGTCCGGTGGGAGAAGGCTGCTCTGCCCCAGGGTGACAGCCCCCTCTCCGGTAGCACCCTCAGTCTCACCCACCCTGGAAAGAGGAGAGGGCTTAGATTCGGGACAAGCTCACCCCTCAGCAGGGAGGCTGCGGGTCTGGGTGCTCCTGAGCTGCAGGAGGTGGTCCGTCCCGCACGGATGTGGCAGAAGCTGGCAGGAAGCGGGGCGGGGCTCTGCGGGTGCAGCCTGGCTGAACCCCTTCCCTGCTCTCGACTGGCGCTCACTGAGGCTTCTGGTGGGCTGGGGAGAAGGCTGAGCTGACCCTGCTGGCTTCTGCAGCTCTGGGACCAGGTCCCCGGGGAGCCCCCTGGCCAAGGCACACGGGTGGGCTTTGGTGGCAGCTGTTTGTGCCAAACCTGAGGTCTTGGGGACCACGCCTTCTACAACAGAGCAATCATGCATGACCAGGGATAACCCTTTCCAAAATGTCTTGTTTTGTGAGGGGTTCACCCAAGTGGAAGCTCCCAAGACTGAAAGCCGACTGTCCTGCCCCAAGCGGAGCCCCCACAAAGCTGTTCTCAAGTCACAGTGAACTGTGTAAACACCTTAGGGATAAGTGGAGGCAACAACGTGATATATTTATATTATAAAATTAAATGGATTTCTCTCGGCCAGCAAGCACCTTGTGTACATTTCCGCCCCCTCCCCGCCCCAATTCACAGTGAAGGACCCCCCTTCGCCAGTCAGAAGAGGTGGTGGCGTGGAGGTGCAGCACGTGGGGGCGGTTTTGGGGGAACGTGGCCCCGTGGCCAGTAAAGGACAGCACCACTGCAGACTGGCTCAGGCCTTCACGGCACAGGGGTCACCTTTTATTTTTGATTGAAAATGCCCACCAAGGAGGAGCCTCAGGCACAGCCAAGAGTGAGGAAACAGACCTCTCCCCATGCTGCAGGCTGTCGTGACGATCACTGAGGTCACCAGAGCCCCCTGACCAAACAGGACTCAACACGAACGCCCCCCCAGCTGCAGGAGACAGCAGGCTCGCAGCGCCCGGCCCATCCCCCCGAGGTCAAGTCCTGCACAGCCATGTTAAGGGCTCTGCTGCTCTTAAGGCCGCCAGGCCCGAGGCCATAGGTGATCCGACGGCCTATTTCTATGCAGGGCCTCCCTGCCCAGGCCTCGCCTCTGGAGGCTGCACAGCCAGGCTACCGCCTCACTGCCCCGTAGCCACACCCCTCCCCGCTGGGCCCCATTATGCCTTTTTAAAAAAGCCTGTATAGTGAGTGAACAGCAGACAGGTATATTTGGTGGCCTCACTCCACACTCCCAAACCACCAACGTGGAGCCTCTGGGTCTCGCCCGGCGGCCAGCCCCCGCTCATCGCAGGGCCAAGCTGTAGACGTGGTAGATCTCGTCGGGGAGGCCCTCCTGCCGCTCCTGTGCCAGGAGGCTGAGGCCCGCACTGTGGATGATCCCGCGGACCACCTCGAGGTCCCGGCACACGCTGCTGTCCACGTCGTCCAGGATCACGCCCTCCTGGGCCATGTTGTCTTTGATGACAATGATGCCATTGGGGCGCAGGCCCCGCTTGCAGCGCCGCAGGAACTCAGCCAGGTGCTGGTCGGTCAGGTGGCCTGGCGAAGACAGAGGCATGGTCACCACCGCACGTTTCTTTCAGCCACCACTTAGCACTTACTCTCTGCTTAACACACAGGGCCTCGCTGGCACTCTCAACAGTCCACGGGGGGTTTACTAAGCCCCGTTTTATGTAAGAAGCTGGCTCAGAAGTCACCTACCCGAGGGCAATCGCCAAGTATGCAGCTGGGAGTTTGCCTCGACTGGGGTGACTGGCAGGCCCCGCCCGACACCTACAGCCCGTGCCACCCGCCCCTCCCAGGCCTGGATCACAGGGAGGGCACCAAACAGTTCCTTCCCTCCAGACTGCAGCTTCTCAGGACCACAGAACACAGGGCCAGACCGAGGGTGTTCCCAAAGGGCTGCACTGTTCCCCGTGCAGCGGCTGGCCGACCGCTGGCACAGGCTGCGCCAGGCCCGCAGCCCAGGAAGGGCACCCTGGGCGCACTGCTGGGCTGCGCGGATGCACGGCAGGACGGCAAGGCAGCACCCCCCACTGCCAACAGCAGAGACAGCCAGGGCTTCCACTTCTCTTATTTAAGAAATCCTTACTATAACGCACCTCCACATTTCTGAATGAAGTAAGTTATTGGTCAATTAAATTTTTTCAACAAAAAACTGCCCCTAAATGGGCTGCAGCAGGTATTAAGTTGAAACAAAGGAAAGAAGGAGACGTCCTTTCTAGGCAGGGTCTCCGCCCGTCCTGGGAGCCCTGGGGGAGCTGAGGAAGCCCCGCGGCCCGCCTGCTGCAGGCGCCCCGCTCCCAGGCCCGCATGGGCAGCCCGGCTGCGCAGCGGGACAGCGCAGGGAGGTGGGGAAGGAGCGGAACGCGCACCTATCACCCACTGGATCCAGATCACGTCGTAGGAGCTGGGCTCGGGGCTGAAGTCCTGGAGCCCGCAGCAGAAGTAGTTCCGCACCCTCTTGCCCTCCTCCCCCAGGTAGGTCTTAGCTTTGACCAGAAAGTCCTCCGTCACGTCCACCATGTCCACCACTCCGAAGAGCGGCAAGAGCAGCCGCTTGGTGATCCTTCCAATGCCGGCTCCGCAGTCCAGGGCGCAGGAGGTTCCCGTCTTGTTTGGGCCTTCCTAAAAAGCGGAGCACAGACGCTAAGGAAGGGCTGGAGAGCCAGAGGGACGCTGTCACTGCAAATTCCTCATGAGCCCCAGAATCACTCAAATAGGACTGGGCACAGGCTGGTGGCCGGCGCTAGTGGGGACATCAGTGGGTATGAGCACCGCACACACTTTTCCTGGGCCACACGCTTCTAAAATGAAAGCCACTTCTACTTAGAGGTGACAGCTCGATCAGGTGCACTCATCTCAGTCCTGAGGCCCATTGAAACGACAGCAGAGAGAATGAAAAGAACTCAAGCAGTGAAAGAATGGAAGAGGGCAATGAGCAAACACCAGATTCTAACAAACTGGGGAAGGTGGCAAGTGGGTGGGGAGACCCTGGACAGACGGGGCAGCAGCAGCCTCCCGTGCTTGCCAAGGGAGAGACGAGAGGGCGGCGGGGGCAGGGACTCAGAGCCTGTGTTCAGCAGAACAGCCCAGACGCCACGGACATGGCAGAAGAGCAGAGGTTTCGCTCCTGGCCAAACCGACAGGTGAAAGGAAGACTACTCTGTTCTGGCCTCCGGGAGTCGCCAGCATTGCGGCCGGCTCCTGCCTGGTCACTTGAGCACAGAATAGCAGCTGCCCCCGCCCCACCCTGCTCTTCCAGGCCTGGGTGGTAGACACTGACGGATGACCAGAGACCCTGCAGTGTACATGGAAAGGTGGTGCCCCACGCAGACGGGCAGTGCCACCAGCGCCACATCCTCTCCTCCTGGAGAGCACACCAGACCTGCCTACCCTCAAAAACCTCTGCAGGAACTTCCGGGAGCTGTTGATGTCGATGCTGGAGATGTGGCCATACCCCCCGAGCATGCCGTCCACCGTGGGCGGGACTTCTTTCCAGTACGTCTTGGCCTTCGAATAGAATTGTTTCTCATCTTCTATCACCTCGCTCGTCATGCTGTCACCAGCCACGTCTCTGCTCAGGCACCCAACTCAGCAGCGGCACCTCCTGAATGAAGAAAAGGAGTGAAATCAGCCAGGTCGAGAGCCCCGGCCTCACACCGTGCTTCTCGCCGGTCACACAGTCCTGCCTGAGGCAGAGGAACGTCCAGTGTCCCCAAATCTGCTGCCCCTGGAGACAGTGCCTTCTGTCTCTTCAAGTCGTTTTGCAAAGCTCTCTTCCTATCAGAGCAGGGGAGCCAGCGTCCTGGCTTCTAGTGCTTTCCTTACTCTACATGACACTTGACTTAATGGCTTCTGATCTGAGAATACAGAAAACCTGATCTACACTCGAGAAAGGAGAGCGACACAGGGAACCCAAGTGTCCTGCATGGACATTGCCTCGGGTCCTGGAGGGGCCGGAGGAGTCCCCATGCCTCCCTCCCTCTCACTCCAGCGTGTGCACAGGAACAAGCTCACTGAGGGGGCCGGTCCCTCGTTAACCGTGACCGGCCCGTGTCAGGCACCCTGCTGAGAACCGGGGAGACAGCCAGACGGAAGATAGCTACAGACACAGGAATCACAGCTGTGCGAGGGCTGCGGAGCAGTACGAGGTGCTGGAGGAGCAGACCCCGGAGGAGCCCGACTTCACTGGGGTCAGGAAGGCAGCCCAGGGAAGGGACACCCCGGCTGAAACTCGGGATGAGGCAGGGCTGGCTCGGCAAACCGGGTGGGCAGACTGCTCCAGGAAGAAAGGAGCATGCAGGGAGCCCCTGTGGGTCCCATGGAGGGGATCAGACGGCGCCCTGCAGGGCAGTGGGCATGAAGAGGTATGCTCTGGAAGACTGCTGGCAGCTGTGGGGACTGTGCAGGCAAGAGTGCAGCAGCCCCCGGGAGCGTGTGAGCGGAACGGACGGAGGGGCATGCAGAGCACGGCCGGGCAGCGGGGCGCAGGCCCACGGCGGCGCTCAGAAGAGGGAGGACGGCCGGGCAGCGGGGCGCAGGCCCACGGAGGCACTCAGCAGAGGGAGGACAGCCGGGCAGCGGGGCGCAGGCCCATGGCGGTGCTCAGCAGAGGGAGGACGGCTGGGCAGCACCACGTGCAGCAGCCTGGCCACCTCACACCAGGGGTGAGAGAAGGCCCACACCTCTCCCCCAGGCATGGGCACTCCCCAACAAACGTCCACCACGTTCAGGTGCGCTCCGGCTGCTGTGAGGCTAGTTGAGAAAGGCTGACCCCGAGAGCTTCCCGTCCACTAGGAGAGATGGGGAAAATGGAACCAACTGAAACACTTCACTGTTCAGGGACAAGGGTTGGCACCACAACGAAGACAAGTTCCAATCGCTGTACTGACTGAAGAGCCCTCTGGGCTAACAGCCAGGGGGCCTCGGTTCTAAATGCTGCACCCTCCCATCCTGGCTCACGAGCGTCCCACAGGGTCCCAGCGCCTGAAGCCGTCCTCCCCGACCCGGGAAGAGAGGGTGGCACACTGCTTCCAAGAACGAACTCTCACTCCAACCCTGAGGTGCAGGGCAAGCAGAAGAATGTGGAGGCCGTCCAGCCCCCAAGAATGCTCCCTGCAGCAGAGTGGGCCTCCCAGTAGCTCCCGGAGGGCTGACATGAAGGGACCAGTCTGATGTCACCACATAGCTGGGTTTGGGGGCTGCTTATGTGGGTGCGGTCTGAAAGGTCAAGTGGCTGCCAACAAGCACCACAGCACCCGTGTCAGCCCCTCCACCACTGCCCAGGAGGGACACCGTCAAAGCCGACTCTGCCAGGCCGCACCCGCAGCGCTCCCACTCAGACTGGAGCTCAGTGACGCCGGCCTGCCCCATGCTCCTCCCTGCCCCCTCCCTCAGCAAACTTCCGGTTCTGTATTCAAATCTATCTCCCCACTGGACTGGGAGCTCCTTGCAGAGGCAACACCAAGATGTAATGCTGTATTTCTTTTGCATCCCACGCAGCACCTAGGTATTCAACAGAAAGTTCACTCAGAGTAAATCTGGAGCCAAACACGTACCTGGCTGTACTCTCTCTGCCCTGTCTGCCTTCCCGCCCAGGATGTACGCTTCCTGGGGGCAGGGCCATGACCTTGTACACCATTAGCCCAGTACCTGATACAAAGTGGGTGTTTACTAATCAGCTGTTGAACGAATCAAAGAATGAGCTTTGTGCGGCTACAGTCCTTTTCCACTTTTAAGAAAATCCTACAGCCAAGAATCTAACCATTCAGAACTGACAACACTGAAGGCCGTTACCGACAATATAATTTTTTGCTTTACCAAAAGCCTTTAAACATGATTCCTTTAAATGTCAAGGTTCCCCGAATAATTTAATTTACAGGAATTCCACTTACAGGCGGATTCTAGGAACAAGCCAGGGGAGGCATATCTAGGCCGGGAAATAGCGAGTATAACTTTGACATTTGTTCTAAAAGCTGATTCATTAGTAAACATGACTCTGGGGGCCCTGTCTGCACTGTGCCTCCCGGTGTCCAGATTGGAGTGGGCAGGGGTGGAGGAACGGCGGGGTCATCACATAGCAGCAAGTCCTTCCATACTCTGTCCACAGCACAGCAAGGCGCTGCATGGCTGCAGGGATGGGGAGGGGCCTGGGCACAACCTGGCTCTGTGTGTGCTCTGGGATAGCTCGGAGGGGAAGAGAAATCCTTCGCTCAGTGAACTTCTGCTCCTCAATGGTAGAATTTGTCTGCGCATCCTTCATGGTCATCTGGCCACCTCCCCCCGACCCCAAGGTATTCGAGGTGACACCTGGGCAGCCGCCCCAGCCACCTTCTCTTTTCCCAAGATCCATGGAAGAGAATGGTATTTGAACTGTCACCATCAGTGCTCTGCAGAGTCATCTCATCCTCCCCATTTACCTGCTCTAAGAAGCGGCCTGGCAGCAAGAGGAGGCAAGAGCCTACCTGAAGTCCCCTCCTCCCTCTCGAAGCCTGCTGGACAGGGCTGTTCCCTGGATCTGTGCGGGAGCAGCTGCACAGATGAGAATGGCAGGGTGCTCTATGAAAAAGAAAGAAAAGGAGGGAGGGAGTAAAAATAATAGAGGAAGAATGTAAAAACAAGGCTCTGATGGAATCAGGTCTGAATCCTGGCCTTGCTTCTCACCGGTTGTGTAAGCTCAACTAAGACACCTAAACTCAGTTAAGTAAGTTTCTTTATCTACAAAATGGGAACAGCAATATTGACTTTACAGGAAGGCTGTGACGATTAAATGTGGATATAAAAGCATAAAGTGATCCAGACAGTACTGGGCACATATTATCTTGACTTTATAAATCTCTGTCAAATGAGAGTCTCGTCAATTTTCTCTGCCAATTGTGAAGATCAAATGAGAAAAATGCACTGAAATGCCTTAAAAATTGTAGGGTGCCGTACACATCTCAGGGATCATTACTGTCACGCTGGGTGGTCAATCCAGCACACTCAGCTCTGCCAGTCTGCAGAGGAAGGGAGCCAGCTTCCCATCCGTGTAAACACAGAAACACCGCAGATTCTGGAGACAGCTATCTCTTGTGATTCTGTGGCTTCCGGTCTCCACCAATGCTTGTACCTCCAACCCTCCCAGTCCCCGGTTTACAGGACAGAAAAACGGTTCCACTAAAGGAGTGATGCACCTTAAAAAACACACAGGGAACCAGGAACAGAATAAGGAGGGAATCCAAACTTCTCACCCCAGTCAAAGCCCTAGTCTTCCCAGGGGCTCATCCCCTCTCTCTGGGCAAAGATCCTGTACACTCTGACCATGGGCAATACCGCCCCACCCACCAGCAGGGCCTGACCCACTGTTTCTACTCCTTATTGTACAGACGGAGAAACCAGCGTCCAGACAGCGCACACAGCTGACGGGCAGCAAAGCCTGGGCCTTTCGATATGGCAGCCTCTCTGCCAACAGGCTGACCTTGGCTCCAAGGGCTCTCGGCGGCCAGCTGTCTTTTGAGCGGCACCTGTGTCGGGCCGTTCCTGGGGCTGGGTCCAAGGTGAAATCCGACAGCAACTCCTATGCAACGGGCGCTACCCTGTGCCGCTCGGAACTGGGCACTGCACTGAATCCTCACCCTCACGCTCCGAGCGGGTGCTCTCCTTACCCGCGTCTCTCAGAGGGGAAACTGAGGCTCAGGGAGGGAAAGGGACTTGCTGCGGCCCGGGGGCCGGCGTGGGGGAGCGACCACCCAGGCGCTGGGGGCCTCAGCCTTCCTCCTCTACCCCTACCCCAGCCCAGGTCCGGCTCGCGGAGCCCCCGGGCGCGCACGTGCGGCCGCGCCGGCTCGCGCCCGGGTCACGTGACGGGCCGGGGCCTGGGCGCCCGGGCAGTTGGGGGCCGGGCCTCCCCTCTCCCGGCGCCGCCGCCCCCGCTCCGCCGCGCGCTACTCACCCCGGGCGGGGGCTCCCGGGACGCGGAGAAGAGGACGCGGAACAGGAAGGGGGCGGCGGGGAAGACCGCACCAGGCCACACCGGCTCCGTCAGACCGCGGCCAGACGCGCCACCGCGCGGCGCACGCCGCCTTTGTCTGCGCACGTCACTTCCGGTCGCCCGGGGGCGGGGCCTCGGCGGGCTCCGCCCCGCGATCGGCTTGCCCTGCCCATTGTGTCCTGACCTGGAAGGACCTCCCCGACTTAAAGGGGCCGCCGCGCCGACCCTCTCCCGACCCCAGCACCCGCACCAGTTCTTTTGGAGGCTGCAAGCCTGGACTTTTAAAAACGAGAGTTCTAGGGGTTTCCCACTGGGTAAAAAGGGGAGGAAAAAGCCTTATTCCTCAAATCCAACCCTCAACGATTAGCATCTTAAAATAATATACACATCCAAAAAACAAAGCCAAAAAGAATACCTTTGGCAGTGCCAAGGGGTTGCCACCCCAAATAAGCAGAACAAGTCCATGATATTTCTATTTCAAAAAGGTTGCCCTCCCTAGGCTCCTGCCATATATAGAAATTCTGGCGCAGTCCTTGAAGCAGCCTTGATGGAGATGTAATTTTGCAGGTGGCTAGACCTTGTGAACCTCTCCGAGCCTCAGTCTCCTCTTCTGCTAGACAGATGTGATAATTACTCACCTTTCAACGCTCCGAGGGTTAAACTTGTGGGATATTGTAGTCAAGCCTTCAGTCCTGCGCTTGCCGCTGGCTCTCAGTAAACAGAAGCTGTTATAATGACAATATTCATCATAAGTTCATTTTTCCTAAACTGACATCCTGGTTTTAGATTTACAGTGCCTTCTTCCGGGTGCTACACATAGGAGGTGCTTAAAGTGTGTACACTCTAATGAAGCGAAAGTTATGGGGGTGTGAGGGGGTGTTGAAAAGCCCCACCCGCAGCAGAGTCCCCCACATCTGCCTATGTACATATTATCTGGCACCCTCTCTAGCGGACTCCAGGTCAGACGTGGTTCCCTGGCCTGGGCCCCTCTCCCAAGCTTCATTTTCCACGTCTCCAAGGGAAAGGGATAAAGCCTGGGCTATCTCAATTGCTGGGGGTGTCCATAATCTTCTTTTGGGGGCAGCTCTGAGCTCTCCTGGGATGCCTGAAAATCCACCCTACATTTTTTTCCTGTTGATGGAAGATAAAGTCCCTTCCCCACACCTGGGTTCCAAGGCCTTCCCAGGTCTGGCCAGCCCCTGACCTCAGAGCCTCTTGCATCGAGTCCCCGAACATCACACGTAGTAGTTGCTCAATAAATGTCTGCGGCGGGCGAGAGCTGGAGAGCTCCTTTGAAATCATCTAGTTAATCTGGCGTTCCTCGTCCAGTTCTTAAAAACTCACATGCCCTTAGAATAAATATCAAAATTTCTCACCTTCCCCATTCACGATTCTAACTTCCCAAGGAGGTAGCCCTTCCATCCCTAGGGGAGGAGTATTTGCAGACAATGGCACACATTGTCTGTCATGCCTCCTCCAGGCAGACGCCCTGTGATTTGAATTACAAAGTCATTTTTTTCATTTTTCAAATTATAAAATTACACCAGGCCAGTGAAATTACTGGTCCAAACTACCCTTGTCCCCCACTCCATTTTCACAGTACAAGCTTCTTCCCTGCCCCTGCCCAGCCGAGAATCACCAACGCGGCCCACCAGTCCATTTGACCATGGAGCCCTGACAAAAGAGACTTGTCCAGCATCACACAGCAAACACAAGCACAGCATGGACTCGAAAGTGGTTCTCTTTGTTTCCAGGCCCACTGCGTTCCTACCGCCCAGCCCAAACATGACCCACCTGGGCCTCCGGATCAGGAAGGGGTAGTGGGACCCTGGGCCCTCTGTCCCTCCTGGTCAGGAGTCCTGCCACGGGCTTGTGACTGCAGTCTTGGTATCCTGAGCACAACAGCCCCGCCCTCTGCCCCCAGGCCTCAGTGCCCTCTGCTCCTTTCCTGGCCTTGGGTGGGGGCGGATCACAATGACCCTGAGGAGGCCCTGGAGGCAGCAGGGAGGGGCCCGCAGAGGGACCAGACCAGGAAGATGGGCTCTCCCAAGGACCGGCCCACCTGTTAGGGGGCTCTAAACTCACAGCACCTTCTCTGGCCCCACCCAGACCCCACCAGGGTGAGTGGGATGCTAGGAGCCAGCTCAGGGCTGACAACAGACTGGGAGTGGGCGTGATGGGGAGGGGCACACTCGAAGACCCCCAGTGACAGAAGCAGGCGGCAGGTCTGGGGGGTCTGCCTCACATATAAAAATACGTGTCTTGGGGGCTGGCCCCACGGCACAGTGCTTAAGTTTGCACGTTCCACTTCAGTGGCCCAGGGTTCGCCAGTTCAGATCCCGGGTATGGACCTATGCACTGCTTGTCAAGCCATGCTGTGGCAGGCATCCCACATATAAAGTAGAGGAAGATGGGCACGGATGTTAGCTCAGGGCCAGTCTTCCTCAGCAAAAAGAGGAGGATTGGTGGTGGATGTTAGCTCAGGGCTAATCTTCCTCAAAAAAAGAGAAAGTCTTGGCCCCACCCCAGACCTACTGAATCAGAATCTGAGGCACCTGTATTTTCAACAAGTGCCCCACCCCAAGGGGCTCTGAGGCTCCAGCAGGACCAGACAGCAGCTGGGCTGGTCTCTCCTTTCAAGATGGTTCTGGTTTCCCAGTTCCCAGTGGAGCGCCCCCAACAGTGACAGCCTCCAGGACTGAACACTCCAGCGCTAGGCCCTCCCTACTACATAGAGAGCTCTCTCCCACGATGTTTATTCCTTCTTACAAAGGAGCAGGTGCTCTGTTATCCCCATTCTACAGATGAGGGCGCTGCGAGAAGGGAATTCATTGGCTCCCTAGGTTACAGAGTTACAAGGTTAGGTTACAAGGTTACAAAGCTACTAAGTAGTGGAGCTGAAATTAAATCCTAAATAATAATAAATTTGAAAGTAAGAAGAAGAGCGGCTAGTCTTTGTTGCAGCAGGTACGACGTGCCTGCCACTATTCCAAGCTACTGACACGTGCTTGCTCATTTAAACGTCACAGCAGCTCAGAAAGGTGGGTAGTCTCTCCGTCACCATTTTTCAGGTGAGGAAACAGAAGCTGGCGAGCTCCAGCCTGAACCACTCACTGTCGGGGGAGCCGGCGGGCCTGCCCCCAAACCACACTGCCCCGCTCTGGGCACGATGGCCTGGGGGCTGGTCCATGCCCTCCTCTCCACCTCCCACAGCACCTCCCCGCCCCCACTGACGTGAGGATGCCCTGAGCCGAGAGCAGGGCCGGACATGCCCAGGCGTCACCCCAAGCCCGGGGCCCAGTGGGTGGCGCCCAAGGGGTTCCCGGGCGAGGGCGACGGCGCCCGCCGCAGGAGACCCCCGCTGCTGCCCAGGCTGCCTCCGCCCGAGCTGCGAGCATCTTGGGGCGCGGACGGCTTAGGGGGCTCGAGGGCCTCGGGGGGCGGCGCCGGGTGGTGGCAGACCCCCCGGGGCCAGGCCTCGCCCGCGGCGCCTGGGGAGGGCGTCAGGAGCCCCCCGCCGCGCCTGCCCGCCCTGCCCACCGTGGCCCCGCGGGCGGCGCAGGACCGGACGGGGCTGAGGTCGCTGCTGCTGCCGCCCCTGTTCCTGGCCCGCGCGGCCCGGGCACCGGCGCCCCCGCGCCCCGAGCCTCGAGAGTGCGAGGACCCCCGGAGGGGCCCGGCCAAGGAGGCCGCGGACTCCTTGGGCGCCCTCCTAGGAGAGTTCCTCCCCGGCAGGTTCCGGGAGTTCCTACGCCGGCTGGGCGTGGAGCGTGCGGAGCAGCCGCGGCCGCGGAGTGAGGCCCTGCCGGGGTCCCCAGGGGGCGGGGCAAGGGCGGGGCTGAGGCATTTCCAGCGGGGGCCGCCAGGATGCGCAGAAGGATGCTAATGTTGGTCTGTGTGCCTAGCAGAGCGCTGGCAGCCCCCCCTTGAGGGCGGGTCCACCATTGCCCCTATTGTACAGATGAGGAAGCTGAGAACCAAGGCCATATGACTAGGAAGAGCCTAGTAAGGACTGTCCCCAAGCAAAGGCTCATAACTCTTTCCACCTCCTTCTGGCTCCCAGCATCCTCAGCAGCGCAACACCAAAGGAGTGTGTCAGAGCGCTGCCAGAGGTGTCCTTGCTGTCCCAGAGCCTCCTTCCTCCCAGACCTGCAGTAAGTGTTGGTGACCTGTTGGTGGGGACAGGGTGACCGTGGACGCTCGGGGTGGGGGGGGG